ACTACTTAAGGTCAGGAAAAGAACCACTTGAAAGCGTTAGACAGGCATGGTGCTGGTAACATCAACGCCAAGGGTTCAGATCACTGTACTGGCCAGCCACAAAAAAACTAAGCAGCAACAACAGAAGTATTAGAAGAATAATTGAATTATACACAGGCTTAGGAAGAGTGCCTGTTCCCATGACAGGCTGGAAAACCTCATGTGTCAAGGGGCATTGGGTACTCAGAAAGATCTTGCCTTAATGGCTGGGAATACTGAGCTCTACACAAAAGGCTACTATGTGGTCCATCGAGAGAGAGAGATGAGAGAGAGAGAGAGAGAGAGAGAGAGAGAGAGAGAGATTGAGAGAGAGAAAAGAGTATGTTAACAATAGAATCCACACGAAGGATACAAGGGTGCCCATTATACTTACTCTTTCATCTTTCTGGTAGGTTTAAGTTTTTTCAAAAGAAAAATTTGAGCAAAAAAGATACCCAAACTATTGATTAGCTTATTGTTATGGTTTACTGGGTGCACTTTCAGGGAGATAAAAACTGTCTCTGTGACTGGAGTAAGTCCTCCAGGTTAACTTTAAGCAGAATAGCATGGTGATTAGGAATACAGCTCGAATCTGAGCTCTGCTAATAATGTGACCTCGGGCAAACTGCTTAATCTCTGTTGCTCAGCCTCTCTGTTATAATACCACCTACCTCTAATGAGTTTTTAGGAAAAAATGTATCAATACCTGAAAAGTGCCTGGCACATGGTGAGTGCTCAGTAAATGTTAATTAGTTACTAACTTGCAGAGGATGCCTGAAAAGCAATCATGCTCTCCCACCTTGGGTGCCTTCTCTGAGTCCTCCAAAATGATGCCTTTATTAGGACCACATTATGACTGTCAAAACAGAAGTGTGTTTCACGGGTCCATGAAGGCTGAGTTATCAGTACAATGTAAAGAGTTTTAGATTAAAACTGCATCCAATAAGTTGGCCTGACACATTTTTCAAACCCCTAGAAGGATAATTACATGTGACTAATATTCCTTTGGGTCTGGTGGAAGCTTCTGATGTTCATATAGAAAGAATGGACCCAGAAGAGTAATACAGCATTTTACATCTATGGCAACCTCAACTCTGACACAAAGTCTTTGCTGTTCCTTTCCTGTCCCAGCTTTTTAGTTTGGAAAATTTCAAATCTATAGAAAACTTGAAAGAATGGTATAATGAACATTTGTATACCTTTCACCTGGACTCAACAATTGGTGACACTTCACCACATCTGTCTTCAGTGTGGGTATGTTTATACATTTTCTGGGCAAACCATTTGAGAGTAAGTTGCAGACATTATGACCTGTCACTGCTGAACACTTCAGTGTGCATCCCATAACAACCAAGGCATTGTCCTACATACCCCAATACTATTATCACCCAGTGAAATCTAATATGAATATCTCTGTCTCCTGTATAGTCCATATACAAATTTTCCCAAATTGTCACAGTCAGGTCATAGCTTTTTTTTAAAAATTAAGCCAGAATCCAATCAAACACCAGGCATTGTATTTAGTTTTCATGATTCTTTAGTCTCCTTTAATTTACAACTGTTCCCCATCTTTTAAAAATCTTTCATGGCATTGACATTTTTTAAGCCTTCAAGCCAACTGTTTTACAGAACGCTCCTCAATTTGGTTTTGTATGATCAACCTGAATGTAACAAGGAAACATTTTTAGCAAGAACACTTCATAGGAAATATTGTAGTTTTGTTATTCATTAAAAAGTATGAACTAGGAATAATACAAGTGAGGACAAACTTAAATAATAGTTGTAAAGCATACTGACCAATTTTTGAGACTGCAAATGACCTGAGGTGTAGATTATCCTTACTTGAGAATAATTATTTTTCAATACACATTAAAGATCATTATACAGGAGCTGGCTTACTTACTTTGTATATAAATGTCTAAACTCCCGAGGACTTTCAATAATGAACTCCACTGTGGCAGCTGCTTTAATCTCTTTGTGGACTTGATGGCAAATGGCTACAGAGAACGATAGCACTTTTTTCTTATCCAGTAATGTTCAAGAGAAAAGCAGATAGAACCCCACTACTGTGGATAACGAAGTGAAAAGGCTGGTGGATGACAATTTTGACTATGCAGCCAGAAGGTCATCTAGCCAACATGGGAGGGATCGACTGTGTCAGACACTGCAGGAGGCTGAGGGTGATGAGGCTAGAGCAGTAACTGATGGATCTGCTGACAACGTTGTGAAGATAGTCAAGGAGGTGACCTGACAAAAATGACTGCAGCAGAGTGTAAATGAAGGGCCTTTTTCCATACTGATCTTGTGTAATCCCCTCAATTAGCCTTAGCACAACAGCATGTTTCTATTTAGCTTGCCATACTGGAGGGAGAATGGCAAAATGTAAGCTGTGATGAGTTGTGTAACAAACTGTCACAATAGGGCCCTACAGAAATAAAATGACATACTTCACACCATACGTAAAAATTAACTCAAAATGGATCACAGACCTAAATGTAACTACACAATTTCTAGAAGAAAACATAGAAGATCTTTGTGAGTTTGGATTAGGCAATGGGTTCTTAAACAAAGATTTCTTAGGTCAGACACAAAAAAGCACAAACCATTCAGGAAAAAATTGCTAAATTAGAGTTCATCAAAATTAAAACATTAAAAACTTTGGCTCTTCGAAGATACTTTAAATAGAACGAGACAATAAGCCACAACCTGAGAGAAGGTAGTTACTAAACACATATCTGAGAAAAAGGAATTGTATCCAGAGTATATAATACAGCAGTCTTAACACTCAAAAAGATAAATATCCCATCAAAATATGGGAACAGATTTGAACAGACGCTTCAGTAAAGATGATATTTGCACATGAATAGACACTCAATATCATCAGCTGTTAAAGAAATGCAAATTAAAACCACAATGACTACACACCTACTAGTTGAAAGGCTAACATTTTTTAAAAACCCTGGAAGAGAAGGATCAGGTGAAGATGTGGAGCAACTGCAACTCTCATACACCGCTGGAGGGAATGCAAAATGGTACAGCCACTGTAGGAAACAGTTCAGCAGTTTCTTAAGAAGTTAAACATGCACTAAGCATGTGATGCAGCAATCTCACCCCTACGCATTTACCCCAAAGAACTGAAAATATATATTCACACAAAGACCTGCATGTGAGTACTTTTAGCAGCTCTATTCATAATTGCCAAAAAGTTGCAAACCACCCAAATGTGCATAAACTGATGAATGGATACACAAACTGCTATATCCACACCACTGGAAGGCTGCCCAACAATAAAAAGGAATGAATTACAGATAGACGCAACAGCATTGATGACAACATAATATTAAAAGGATTATGTAAGTGAAAGAAGCAAAAGGCCACAAACTACATGGTTTCATTTACAAGACATTCTGGAAAAAGCAAACCTATAGGGACAGAAATCAGACTGGTTGTTGCCAGGGGCTGGTAGTGGGAGGAGAGGATTGACTGCAGAAAGACATGAGGCTCATTATTTTTTTTCCTTTTTGTCTTTTTTCGTGACCAGTAACGGGATCGCAACCCTTGGTGTCGCGCCCATACCGCGACCGGCAACGGGATTGCAACCCTTGGTGTCACGCCCGCACCACGCTCAACCAGTGAGTGGACCGGTCTCTATATGGGATCCGAACCCTCGGCGGGGGCGCCGCTGCACTCCCAAGCGCCGCATTCTACCGAGTGCGCCACCGGGCCGGCCCCATGAGGGTCATTTTTTTTTTTCCTTTTTGTCTTTTTTACTGACCGGTAATGGGATCGCAACCCTCGGTGTCGCGCCCGCACCGCGCTCAACCAGTGAGCAGGAACCGGTCTCCACATGGGATCCGAAAGGGTCATTTTTGAAGGGAGAAAAATGTTCCATATTGGGAATGTGGTGGGGGTTACATAACATACATTTGTCAAAATGCATCAAAGTGTACTCTTAAAAGGAGTGAATTTTATTATGTGAAAATTATACCTTAATAAACCTGACTTCAGAAAACAAGAAAACAACCCCAAAACTAAGTGAAA